GCCTCAGAATAATCAAACTTGAAGGGTCAAAAGGGCAACATATGCCCAGACACAAAGGTCAGAGGCAGGAATGCACAGGAAGGAGGATGAGGGGAGATGGTACCCACAGGGAGAAGTGGAAGTGAGCCGTCACAGTGCAGTCAATGATGCCATGGAACAATGGGCATGGACTGATGAATGCAAAACCAATGTGCTCTGTAACCTTCCACCTTCCACCCAAATCACAATAAAAAGTTAAACTATATTTCAGTCTGACTCGCAGTTCATTCATTTAGAGTTTCCGGAGTATAAGTCTACACGAAATTCAAAAAGGAAGTACAACAGTTTGAGAAGTGATCAAACATGAATTACCATCCATCTGAGTGAGCAGCTCCGACTTGACTCTCCGACTGGCCTCATGTTCATCAGAGGTCCCTCGGCGACTGCAGATCGAATCTATCTCATCGATGAAGATCGTCGTAGGGGCATAGAATCTGGCCTTCGTGGAAATGTTTTAAAGAAACCATTCAATGAGCTCATCAAACAAGTGCAATGTCTTTTAAAATGCCATTTTCTCCTTTGAAAACAATGGCAAAAGACAGTAGAAATTTCTCAATGCTTTCATGCTGCCATTGGTTAAATCAATCAATCACATAAGAAAAAAGAAAGTTTCTGAAAATGAGAGACAAGTCATGTGGTTGGTCAAATTGGGTGACAGATACATGGGGATTCACTGGACTGCTCTACTTTTGTGTTTAAAAACTTCCACAGTGGGAAAAAAAAATTTTTTAGGGTATACCATCAACCTATGTCCTTAACCATGCATTAAGGAATTACAGCAATCCCCTCATGAAAAAGGAACAAATTTTAATGACAGAAAAATTTCAAAAACGATTTTTCAAATACACACTGCTCCACCAGCTTGTTGTTGCTGTTGGAGTTGTGTGCCATCGAGCTGACTCCGCCTCACAGCCGCCCCAGGTGACAGGGCAGAAGAGCCCGTAGAGTTTCCTTGGCGGTCGTCTTTCCCACACCAGATGGCCAGGGCTTGTCCTGCAGAGCCACTGGGTGGGTTCAAACTGCCAACTTTTTGATAGCAGCCAAGCCCTTAACCGTTGTGTCACCAGGGTTCCTATCAGCTCATTAAACAAACAAAGAAACAAACAAAAAACCAAACTCCCCGCCATTGAGTCGATTGTGACTCACAGCGACCCCCTTTGCGTTTCTGAGGTAGTAAATCTTTACGGAAGTAGATTGTTCGGTCTTCCTTCTGTGGAGTGGCTGGTGGGTTCGAACCGCCAGCCTTCTGGTTAGCAGTCAGATGCCTCAGGCACTGCGCCCCCAGAGCTCCTCAGAGACCCAGAAGTATTATCAACACAGTCACCGAAGTCTCATTTTCTTCTGCTGCTTTTACTGGACAAGTCCAGGAAGGGCCTTCTTTCCCTCAGAGGAAGAGCACCAGCTACCCACAGACCATCACCCCACGTCTCTTCACCATCAGGAGCTATTAAGACACAATTTCATTTGCTCTTTTCTAAGGAAAGAGAAACGGACCTACACCACGGGGAGCACCATGTGCACCACAGACAATGCTTTGAAAGGATCCCCACTCACCATCTCAAACAGCAGGCGGACTAACTTCTCGGATTCACCTCGATACTTCGAGGTCAGCGTGGAAGAGGAAACGTTGAAGAACGTCGTCCCGCACTCAGTGGCAACGGCTTTAGCCAGCATCGTCTTACCAGTGCCCGGGGGTCCAACCATCAGCACACCCTGAAAGTTCACAAGACGTACACGACGCCTGATCAGATTGAAATGCCATCCACTCATTCCTCATTTGTCCTCGCGGTTGGGCTCCACAGACCAGGTCATTAAGTGAAGCACAGCTTCATGGACCTAACGCTCTTCAGAGAGCAGCAGACATTTCAGAGGCGGCCTGTGGGGCTTCGCCCTCCCCCGCAGCCAACGGCAGCAGCACACTTTCGTCCCTGTGCCCTGACTTCCATCGCTCAGGTGGGGTGGGGCAGCCTGTGTCACTACAAACCATGGGCACAGTTGGTTGGTCCGGACTTACAGCTGGGAGGGACCTGCCCCACCCTGACCCACATGGAGTCCTTGCTTGGTCTCCATGGCAATACTCACCCACCTGGGGTAGCTGGCTGCTGGCTCTAGCACCCCAACCACACAGAGGTGGATCTCAGAGTCTGCGGTGAAGTGACTGCCCCACGTCCTGTCTGTGACCCTCGCCACCAGCTTCAGTGTCAGGCTGGGATTCCCAAGGGGCCACAGAGCTCATACCTTAAGGATACAAGGCCCAGGCGTCCAGCCTTTTTCAATTTCTTTCCCTTTTCTAACTTTGTTTGCATGCAAGACTGGGGAGATGGGTGGGATGGGAGGGATCGAGGACTTGGGGCCCAGCAGAGAGGCATTTGCTCACTCAAAACACATGGGGCCCTGCCTGACTAGAAGGTGATTTGAGTAGATTCTTCACTACTGTCGTCAATGTGAAATGTCGGATAATGAGATAGTAGGTAAGTGAGGAGTGGGTGTAATTATCAACTACCAATGTCAACTAAAATTTTCACATCAAAAGATAAGCTCGGTTGTCACAGTAAAATCATGGTGCATTTGGCAAGAGTGTCATCTTACAGGTAGAAAAATGAAGGGTGTATTCACAAAACATCTCAAATTGGAGCTGCCTCAGGGAAGGCTAACAAAGGTCCTGTCAACAGGGAACCTTCTGCCTTATTCAGAGAGCAGCTACCCAGGGCTTCCGAACCTGCCAGAAGATGTACACTTATAATCTTAGCCCCACTTAAGAGTAACCGCTCTGCAGAAGACACTTTCTCTCAGGTATCACAGAATTACACAGGCAGGCAGTTCCCAGCTTACGACTGTCTGACTTATGGACAACTCCCACTTGCTCTATAAGCAGGGCTTCAGACCCACTGAAATGGTTCCGTCATGGCCCACGAAGCAAAACAGGAACAGACGTGAATTTTTACAATGTGAGTGGTTTCTCATGGTAACGAGAACAGGAAAACTTTTGGGTCAAAGCCCTTCAATGGAAGACTCGGAAGAGCGTAACAAGTCCTTTCAGGAGCCAGATATGTAAGAAAAGGAGCTCTAGTGGTGCAGTGCCTAAGGCATTTGACTGCTAACCAGAAGGTTGGTGGTTCAAACCCACCAGCCACTCCATGGAAGGAAGATGGGGCAATCTATTTCTGTAAAGATTTACAGCCTTGGAAACCCAATGGGGGTCGCTATGAGTCAGAACCAACTCCAGGCAGTGGGTTTGGTTTGGGCTTTGCTTCTGTAAAGACTGGGAGCTCTGGTGGTGTAGTGCCTAAGGCACTTGACTGCTAACCAGAAGGCTGGCGGTTCAAACCCACCAGCCACTCCTTGGAAGGAAGGTTGGGCAATCTACCTCCGTAGTGATACCGCCTCAGAAACCCAAGGAGGGATCGCTATGAGTCGGGTCTGACTCGACGGGCAGTGAGTTAGGTTAGGTTGGTTATGGTGCTATTATTCCCATTTTATGGGAGCTCTGGTGGCGTAGTGCCTAAGGCACTTGACTGCGAACCAGAAGGCTGGCGGTTCAAAATAGGGAGACGGGACAGGATATCTCAATGGCTCATTCCAGTTCAAAATGCTGTAAACATCTGTGAACTCAAAGAAGAGTGAAAAAATCAAAGGCATCTGGAAGCAATCAGTTCAAGGATAAGATGGACCACGAGGACCTCAGCCTTCACGACCCTGAGACCAGAAGAAATAGATGGTGCCTGGCTACCAATGTCAACCACTCAGAAAGGGATCAAAACTGGAGATACTGGATAGAGTGAGAGGAACAATGTGAAACAAAATTCAAAAACACAAAAAAAATGACTAGAATTACTGGTCAGATGGAAACTGGTAGAAACTCTGAGACTATGGCCCCAAGTTACTTTCCAGGCCTAGAAATGGACTTACTTCCAAGGATTGGCTCTCAGCCCAACAGCAGAAAGACCTACATGCAGAACATCTACCCCAGGGTGATGCACTCACCTACTCTAGGGAGATGCACCCCTTCCCTTAGAGTAAATGGTCATAAGAAACCAGAGGGGCAGCATTCACACAGAGGGAGAGCTGGACAAACAGGAATGCACAGATAAGCACACAGAGAGGTGGCAGTCACAGGGAAAGGTCGGGAGGAGAGCTGGTTATGTCTGGGGATGGTAATTGGGGCATAAAATCAAATGTGCATGAACTCCTGAACATAAAACAAAATTGAAGATGTCCAGTAAGATGATGGAAGAGGCAGACAAGCTACAGGGGCCCTCTTCAACAAAGAAAAGAGAAACCAATTGACACAAATAAAATAATCCTGGAGCCCTGAGCTTTGAAAGGAACTATACAGAAGTGGATTAGGCGCCAACTAGTGGAAAAACCTGAACGAAAACAGTGAGTACAGAGACGGTCAGAGCAGTGGACTGTCAGCTACTCCAACAGGACCAACAGCGTAAATATTTCCAAGTGGTGTTGGGACCTGAGAATTGACCTAAAGATCAGCCCTGGTCGTCAAGGGCTGCCGGGACAACTGAGCTGGTGGCCTATGACTAGGAAGGGAAACAGCAAAGAGGGAGACAACCTGAGCTATGGACTTTCGGCGGTCTGGAGGGCGCAGCCATTTTGATTGTTTACAAGCAATGACCACCTTGGATATTTAAAGTGACAGCATTCTCATTCAGATCCCAGGGCCCTAAGGATAGGCTTTGTTTGCCAATGATGGCAGGGACATACGGGAGGCAGACAATGGGAAAGAAGGCAGGTGGTGAGTGTATAAATGCTGCCAACTAGTGAATAGAGGAGCACAGCACAGCACCCTGCTTACGTAGATAACATACAAAGAAAATGAAAATCGTAGGCAAATCACTCCAACACGCAATCACCAATTAAATAGAAACACAAAAATATCACAGCATCTCAGAGACAACAAAGCATCATAGTCCACACAAAGAAGCAAGATAAAAGCAGGAGAAAGGAACCAGGATACAGACCCAGAACACATCCCGGAGGAAGAAGCAGCATTGGAACTCCCTGATAAGGAATTCGAAAGAATTATATTTAGGTACTTTCAACGGTTTGAGAGACAGATCAAGGAAAACACTGACAAAACTGGAGAAAACCCTTGAACAATTTCAAAACACATACACGAACAAAATGACAAAGTAAATGAAAAATTAGAAATAATACAAAATCTACAGATAGAAACCCAGAAGATTAATACTAAATCTTCAGAAATAGTAAGACATTGAATGGGCAAAGGAATAGAATTGAATTAATGGAAGACAGAATTGGTGAGATGGAAGGCAAATACCTGAATACTTCTTTGGGAAGGGATCAATCAGAAAAAAAGATCAAAGTAAAATGAAGAAAGCCTAAGGTCATGTGGGATACCATCAAAAGGCATAACCTACATGTAATCGGAAATTCCAGAACAGGAAGAGAAAAATAAAACCACTGAGAAAATTATCGAAGATTTGTTGGTATGATGAAAGATGAGACTATATCCATTTAAGAAGTCCCTGGAACCCCAAACAGGATAGACTCCAACAGAAAATCACCAAGACATATCATCATCAAACTCACCAACACCAAAGGCAAAGAAAGAATCCTGAAAGCAGCACAGGAAAAATGAAAAGTTACCTACAAGGGGCAACCAATAAGACTAAGCTGAGATTTCTCATCTGAAACCATGCAGGCGAGAAGACAGTGGGATGGTATATATAAAACACTGAAAGAGAAAAATTTCCAAACAAGAACTATATACCCAGCAAAATATCCCTCAAATATGATGGTGAAATTAGGACATTTCCAGATATGCAGAAATTAAGGGAGTTTGTTAAAACCAGACCACCCTTACAAGAGGTGCTAAAGGGAGTCCTTTGGACAGAGAACCAACAACAGCAAACAACAACCAACCATTAACACACATGATGACATAACCCAGAAACCAACCCAGTTATAGAAGTATCCAAAGTAAATAAGCCTAAAAGATTCTAAAGAGGGAACCAGTGACATCAATTGATGAATGAGGACAACTAAATCCAAAAAGAGGAAAAAAATTGTGTAGTTACAGAACTTCTAAATGGTAGGGAAGTCAAGACAACTACAAGATAGCAAACTTGGGAAGAAAATTATAAATCACAGGGTAACCTCAGAGAAAAGGTATAAAGCTTCACATTACAATAAAAAAGAGGAGAACAACAAATATTTAGCAAATACTAAAACAAAAGCAACAGAGGAAATAATAACACGATTCATAAACAAAATGAGCTCAGCACAAAAAATTACATGGAACAAAGAAACCAGGAACACCACGAAAAAGCATACAACAAAATGACAGCAACCAATTCATACTTGTTGATAATTACACTGAATGTGAATGGATTCAATGCACCCTTCAAGAGACACAGCATTCCAGACTGGCTAAGAAAACATAACCCATCAACTGCTGCCTACAAGAGACACACCTTAGAGACAAAGACAAGAATAGACTAAAAATGAAAGGTTGGAAAAAGATACATCAAGCAAATGGCAGCCATAAAAGAGCAGGCATGGCAATAATAATTTTCGATAAAATTGACTTTAAGACAAAAACCACCATAAGAGACAAGGAAGGACGTTATATAATGATTAAAGGATCAATTGAACAAGAGGACATAACAATAATAAATATCTATGCACCCAATGAAAGAGCCCCAAAATACATAAACCAGACTCTAATAGAACTGAAAAGACAAATAGATGACTCCACAGTCATAGTGGGAGATTTAATACCTCACTTTCAATCAAAGGTAGAACAACTGGAAAGATGTTCAACAGACACAGAAGAACTAAACAATACAATCCATCAACTTGACCTGATAGACATCTACAGAGCACTTCACCCAACAACAGCACAATATACACTCTTTTCCAGTGCACGTGGGACATTCTCCAGGACAGACCGTATGTTAGGCCAGAAAGCAAACAGTGCACATGGGACATTGTCCAGGACAGACTATATGTTAGGCCAGAAAACAAAACATTTTAAAATACTGAAATACTGCAAAGCATCTTCTCAGATCACAATGCCATAAAATTAGAAATCAGCACTAGGAAGATGAACGGAAAAAGAGGAAACACATGGAAACTGAGTAACACCCTCCTTGAAAATGACTGGGTAATAATAGAAGAAATAAAAAATGGAATTAAAAAACTCCTTGCATCAAACAAGAATGAAAA